TTATTGAGGCTGGTGCATCAGCGGTTGCCGTAGATCCCGGCTAACGTGTAGCGTGCGGGATCACAGAACAGCAGCTTGATGACCAGGATCTAACCCATGTTTGCGTAGCAGCTTTTTGCCGCTGGAAGCAGGCGCCTGGTTCAGCTAACTTCCTGTTCCAGCTGCTAAATATCTCGCCCTGTCTCCTCCAGCCATGCCCAGTGCCATTTATTTTTCAGACCTTCATCTATGGTGGTGACATCTTCCCTGGAGTTCATGACCTGCACTGTTCCCACTTAATTCCGTTCTGGATTGTACATATTTTTTATTTCTTATTTTTTTATCTCTTATTTTTATTTTGTTTTTCATTCTGTGCGATACATGTACACTTGCACCTTAATCCTATTTATCTTGATATACTGTATATATATTGCTTATTCTTAATGCACCTTTTTCCTCCTTGTTTGCACCTTCTGTAACTTCTATGCCAAATATGTGACGAGTGAATTTCTCCGCTGTGAGATCAATAAAGCTCATCTAATCTAATCTAATCTATCGTCCTTCTCTCCAAACACAAAGTTTTATTTATTTATTTTTTGACTTTTTACACGTCTCTCCGTTAAATGGAGCCATAAACGGTGAAGGTGACTTTCTGTGTATAGACGTCCAAAGTTCCAAAAACTGATTGGCTAATACTGTTAGTTTCAGAGCGCTCCTTCGCTACCATTGGCTGGCAAACGCAAGAGAGATTTTTTTTGTCTTTTTTAATTTATTTATCATCAATTTATTTTTGAGTGATTTTTTTGCTAAAGGCCGGAAATCTGGCCTGGAGCTGGAATACTTTAATCCCTGGGATTATTTTTTTAACTTTATTGGAATTAGGCGAAGTAGCACCTTAGAATAACAGCTTCCTCCATTTTAAGGTGCTATGTGTTTCATTGCATATATGAATAATAATGAAGAGATTAAAGGGGAGCACTTTTCTTTTTTTACATTGGCCCCTTAATTTTACGTTATTCCATCATGTTCTACTCACCCATATGAGTTTAGTGTCATTTGGAGCCGTTCTGAAGATATTCCGTTAGGTTATATCCAGTAACGTCTTCCTATGAGCAACGACTTGAAGGCACAAACTAAACTGTTCATCATTTAACCGCAGTTATATTTTTTATATTTATATTTTTTTAAAACAAAGCAGCGTGTGGATGAGGTCATCCGCACGGCGGACTGGAGTAGTGACAGGCAGCCCGGGCCGCAGGCGGCTACACTCTATCCCTTCTATTCATTCTAGCTAATCTGAATGGTTCAATTCCATTTCTAGAGCGAGATCATCTGTGGTAGCAGCACTAGACATCTTCCAGGCATGTGAGGAAAACTAGCAGCAGTTCAGCAGACAGGATGAATGGTAGCTGGCGCACACGGATGATGTCATACACACTCCGCTTTGTTTTAAAAAAATAT